TGTGAAGCCATGCATAAACATACCACTCATGTAAATCTTCAAAGCATATAGTCAAATAATCAGCTAGCTACAAATACCTGCAACAATGCAGGTATCATGTATTCTGAGAGGTGTGGCAGAAGATCAAATGCACGTGGTTTAAGAACCCTGCCCTCAAATATGAGCAGCAAGATTAATTAGAAAGCGAAAAGTAAGTAACAAGGCGAGAAAGCAGTTATTCCTCAGTAGGGTAACATCTCACAGGGGTTAAGACAAGGCTGGCAAGATCTGCGTGTTCAGGAAGCGCTGCTCACCACTGCTTTGCCAGTAGGTAAATGAGAAAGCTGTGGCTAAACTGAGTGAAAGAGAATGGGCCCAGGTCAGGGTGAGCTGGAGGCAGAGATGGACTGAACCTGTGCTTGCCTGACCAGTGCTGCCCTCTTGACTATCTGGCTAGGCTAACTGGCTTCTGTGCTAGCTATTGTGAAAAAGAAAGGTTATTGGAGAAAATAAATAAACCTGCGCACCCAAAGTAACACTGTAGGGAAAGAAAACGGAGCTGTGGGTTCAATGACAGTTGGCTCTAGAAGGGTACTGATGAGTTTAGGGATGCTTTATATTCTGATTGCTTATTGCTGTATTGCTTATTGCACATAAAACTGTCCATTAAAAAGGACAGACTTTATTGTATGGAAGTAAAATGAACCTCAACAAGCCTAAAACAAAACTGAAAACAAAAACAACAAACAACACTGTTAAAAGTCTCAGAGAAATTCCTATTTCTCCATCAGGACTCTTTCCCTTTATTGCTGGGTCTTTTATTCCCACTGGGAAGCCCAGGGAGTTTCAGGGATGAACCCTGGGTCGGTGTTCACAAAGCAAAACAAAACAGTCTGTTTCCGCTGCAGCTTCTGTTTGGTAAAGCAAGAAATTGGACCTGTGGTCTTCAGACCTTTCCATCTGCTGCAAGGGTAAGGGACAGGTCATCTGAGACGCCCTGCTGTGTCACCCACAAATACCTTCTGCTCCTGGCCTGCGGCCTCAGGTGTCCAAACTAAGATGCCGCAAGGGAGGGGTCGCTCCCGCCAGCTCCAGGCTTATGCACATACCCGGGCTGACCTGCAAACCCTCCTCTCCCGCAGCCTGCAGCTTGCACACTGCAGGGTATAAGGCGGTCTTTCGAGTCAGAGTCTCAGAGCTCAGCTAGGAAAGCTGGGCTGCTTAGATCCTCCAATGCCTCCTGGGTTAGAGGCAGAAAGACAATGCGTGAAGCAGTTTAATCAAAGGGATCTGAGACGTCAGCACAGAATGAAGCAATGTTAGCCCGGATATTTGGTCTTCCTCCCTGAAAGCTGAACTTTGTAATGCCGGTTCAGGAGCTGCAGTGATTTCTGAGTCAGTTGTAGAACCCAGAAGGATAAGACATTAACAAGCTTAGAAGGTGTTACCTGCCTTGCTGCCTTACCATGCACAGATGTAGGGGCTTCGCACAGCTCTGTACTTTCCCAAGGGAATTAGTTACAATTGGCAAGCTGAAAAGTATTTGATTTAGATTAATCTCACTGGCCAAGGAGAGCCATACTCTGGCTGACCTAAGCACAATGCCGGTCTTGCTCCAGGAAGGGGGAAGAAGCTCCTGGTTTATAACTCTTGACGGATAAGTAAAATGGGTCATTATCATCTTTCATGAGACCTGTAAAAGGCATGCACTGAGCAGCAATGGCAGGGTGGTGAACCCGGAACTGACTTCTTGGCAGGGCCACCCACTGACTGTAAATCTGCAGATGCCTGTCCGGATTCTTCTAGGATTCCCTTCAAGTCATGACTGGCCAATGTGTTATGTCCAGCTGGAAAAACAACTGCATTACAGATTCTCAAAGGCATTATTTGTGGCAAGGAGGAAAGGACAGCAACCAGCCAACCACAAAGATTTCCTTTAATTGATTCCAAATGAATGATTCTAGGCTTTATGAACCATCTCTGTACTAAAGAGCTGGGGGAGTGACCTTTAAGAAAAGCAAATTATTGGTTATAAGTCCCAAAGTGCTTCTCAGATTTGAGGGTGCAGTCAGATTCCCTGCAGACTTATTAAAACGTAGATTGCAGCTTAGTAGGTGGAGAGCTTGCAGTTGTAAAAAGCTCCCGGATGATGTAGCTGGACTAGGGGAAACACTAAGTGGTGAGATCCCCAACAAGATAAAATGAAAAATCATTTGGAAACCTAAGGACCTGAGCCTCACAAATTATTCAGCTAAAATAGCTAATCATGGTCAATTCCTATTTATATTTTTGTTACTACCTAGGGTCAAATTTCTCTCCCTTTGGCTCCTGTGATGATGCATGAATAGCCACTGGACTGGGAAGCTTAGCGGACAAAGAGCAACCAGCCTTGGCCCTCAGAAGTCTGGTTTCTTTCACTTTGGTGAGGCTGACCTGGTGGTGCCTGGCCAAATGCACAGTCACATCACAATTTCTCCTTCCTCCAAATAAGACTCTAGCCCTCTGGCCCTCTCCAAGTTTCTCAGTCCTTGGAATTTGGAATTTTTACCTTCAAAGAAATCTTTTATTTATTTTTTTTAGAAAGTGCCATAAAATCAATATGGTTATCTTGTCAATCTTTTAGAATTCGGATCTACATAATTTGAACATGAACTACTCAGTTAGAGTCACTGGCACAGTCTCTTTAAAAAATTACTAAGCTAAACCCAGTCTGTTGTTTATTTACTTTAAAAGAGACAGGTTATGCAAACAGACAAGTCTGCAAATTTTTAAAATATTGTAGATAATTGCTAATAGGTACTATTTCCAGGCATAATTACATATTTTAAATCCAGAAGAGGTGGGTGTTACTTGAAATCTGGAGCAACAACTGGACCCTTTCTAGTGGTTTATACAGACATAATTAGCAGTTTAATTTCCTCTGTGCTAAGTTAGCCGTAAGATTTCATTTAATAACAAGCACAATTTTGTAGCCATGGCAGCCCAGCCAGCATCAGCTCAGCACTGCCCTCTGCTGGTCCCCAGCTCACACACGCTACCCTGCTCAGGGCAAAGGTATCTGAATTGCAAATTGCAATTGGGCTGCATAAAATTAATTGTGGGATAAATGAAGAAATATAATTCATCTAATACTCCCTTTAATGAGGCTTTTATTTTTAGCTGAGTAAAAACAAAAAAAAATAGACTGAAAGATAATATTCTGAGCTATCTTTCCTGTATTCTCTCATATAAGAGTCATTATATTAGCCTTGAAGGAGGTTTCCACTTCACACTGCTCGGCACAATTAGAGATTATGTCCAATACCCCCATGCACGAGAGATGGCCTGGGACAAATGACGCTCAAAACAGCAGTCGTTATCCCTTAAATGACCCGGCTAAGCTTGGTTTGTCTTATGCCTTGCCAGTCCAATTTTGGCCTTATTTCCCTAAGTCTCTTTATGCACTTATTTTTAAGGGAGCAGTGAAATTTCTTCTGTGTCCAGACTGCAGTCACTTTTTGTTCATGCCTAGTGAGGCTGACTACAGAAACAGAGCCCTGTCTTGAAGATTCCAGCTAACAACCTGACGCACATCAAAGCTGCCCCAGCCTTCTCATTAGAAGGAGGAAATTTGACCATTATTTCAGTCCTTCTATTCAGCATTCCTAAAGGGCAATATGCTATGTGCAGAAACACTGCCATCACATCATAGCAAATAGCTGTCTGCAGTGGGAATCAGTATTCACCCAGGCTTAAGGAAAGTGAATATTCCCATCAGAAATGCAGGAAGAATGAAAGTCCAAGCTACTGTGTGTCCTGGTGCACTGAAGCTCCATGGGCTGTGCTCTCAATGTGCCCTGACAGCTACTTCAAACAAGATTTGCTGGGCTAAGATGCCATGGATAAAGAACGGGTGCTACCAAAGCTTTTTAAATCAGAATTTAGAAAATTCACATTAAGACTAGGGGTTCAAATGTCCACTCTGTGTGGTTAGAGCTCTTTGCCCCTTTATACCTGAGGTGATCATGTGACTCGTGTAGCATAGTTGACATGAAGTTTAAATCTGATGCATTGTGGAAATACATGGAGTCAAGCTCCCTAGCTAGTGTGGTTTCTGAACTGAAGGCACAGCAGGAGGGATGCTGAAAAAAGAGAAATGGGAGTGGATTTCTATCCCTGACAGTTGCTAGGAGCCTGGTTTTTCAGTCCCACCACTACCAATGACCTTGGGAAAGTTACTTTAGTTTCTTTAAGCTACAACTCTTTCATCTACAAAAGGATACTGGTAATTCCAGCTCATAGTATTATGAGAAAAACAATCACCACTGGGCTGCACACAGTGAGCATGCCAATAAACAGTGCATATTAGTGGGGAAACAAGAAGCTGTGGGGACCCTTCCTGGAATTCCAGAGTCATCACGTTGGCTGCCTGTATCCTTGCACAACGCATAAACAATCGTGATTATTTATTATAAAAATAACAATCGTGATTGTTTATTATTGATTATTATAAAAATATATTTTTATAGGAGATTAATAGTGGCACAGAGGAAAGATTTGCTATGGGAGAAAGGTTGATGTGAGGGTCTAGAAAATCAGCTGGTGCCTATTGAAAGCTCTGTAGCAGGTCCTGTGCATGATGGCTGAGGAAGAACCTTTACAGCTGGCTTGTGGAATTCACTGGAAGCACAACGATGAGCATGACTGTTATCACTTCATAAAGGACATCAACTCATAAGTTCTAGCCTTATTCTAACATAACTAAGGGACCACACTGCTTCCTGATTTTATCTGGTGTCTTGTACTAATGCCACTTAAGAAATAATTAAGAAACCTCCTGGGTGGAGATGTTATACTGGCCTGCTCTAGCCTACTCAGAAGGAAAATAAGACATAGAGATAGACATCCACCCTGGTAAAGATTCAAAGAACCCAGACATGGTGCTTTTCTGTGCTGAGTTTGAAATAAGAAACAGATAGTAGCCTGTTGTAATGGGTCATGTCTACAGCCCTAACTATATTCAAGGCTAAGGAGAATTTTTTTTTAATATGGAGTACTTCATGAACTTGCATGCCATTCTTGTGCAGGGGCTATGCTAATCTTCTCCATATCATCCCAGTTTTAGCATATGTGTGGCCAAAGAGAGCACTGAGGATGACTGTTTTCAAAGACAGCCTATACAACATAGTAAGATCACCCTATCTTCCAAAAAAAGCACAGCAAACCCCATATAGAACAAAAAGAGATCAGAAAAGATAGAGATCAGAGATCAAATAATTAGTTTTATGAATGTTCAAAGATGAATTGAACAAGTGGCACTAGGTGGCCCCTGAAAGATCTCTGGTACTCCAGAAGGGACAGATGCTTTCACGAGGTAAAGCTGGGGCCATCATGGAGGCGTGCAGCCCAGGGTGCCAGCTCTGTCTCTATGCAGATATAGAGGGAGTGTTGGTGGGGTAAGGCTTTTCTTGCAACTTCTAGAATGCTCTCCATTCAGATAATTACTCCTCCTCCTGCCTGGGATCAGGGAAATGAGGGATGGAGCAGGAGACAGTGCTTCCCTCATGGCAGGGGTGGAAGCTTTTATGTGCCATGTAGTCCAGAGGTCCAATGGAACCTCTGGCCCTCATCCTAGGATTAGCACTTCAATACAAAACAACAGAACACAGAGATTTGCAATGAAAATGTTATATTAAAATATAGGCATTGAAATAATTTGAAATTTAAATATAGTAGTATCTGTGTTTCTTTTGTCGACCCTCTAATCTTTGATTATCATTCAAAGAAATGAGCTTCATTGTGTTATTTTCACGCACACACATCATATGATCATACATAGTTTTAATTTGCTTCTCCCTTCTCTTGCCTCCTTTGTAGCTTGGAATGAGACAAGGGTGCCCACTCTCTTCACTCTTAGTATAGTACTTGAAGTCTTAGCTAAAGCAATAGGAAAGAGAGGAGATAAAAATAGGAAAGTGCAAGTGTCGCTATTTATAGATGATATGATCTTATACTTAGATCTTTATAACATCACCTGAAAATTCTTATATGTGGTAAACATTTTCAGCAAAGTAGCAGAATTCAAAATCAAATGCAAAAATCAGTAGCTTTTCTATGTTCCAATCATAAACTTACAAAGAAAAAAAACAAGAAAAATTGCATTTACAATAGTTTAAAAAATAATATAAAATGCTTAGGAACAAATCTAACCAAGGGGTGAAAGAGTTCGACTATAAATTTTAAAACACTAAAGAAACAAATTGAAGAACACACTGAAAGATAGACGGAATTC